GTATCTCAAGTGACAGTGTATGGTTTGCCAAGTGAGTTTGATTTCAGTCAATGTTTAATCAGGCTGACCATGAAACATCACTATCAGGGACAACTGGTTTAAGGAGGCTAAGTATTCATAGCAATGTCAATTTTTGATCTTTCACTGTCAGCTCTTAAAAGCTCCTATCATAGTGAAGCACTAATGAGGAACATGAGCTGGCTTTACATCATCACGAGACAGGTTAGTTTTACACTACTGATGATGTGTTGCTGCAATAGTAATATTGGTCAGTACAAGAGGAAGCAAAGGTTTCAAACATTTGCCTCTGTTCTTGGCTGAGATGGTGTAAAGCTAACATCTGTGGGATCATGACTGAATGCCTGTAATTCTGAATTTCACTTTAAGGGTTCACCTTTGCCATCCAACTTTTCTTGCATTATGGGCTTGAATGAAAGGGTAGTTGTTTCATTAGAATAGTTTGATCTATAACTTCAGAGTCTGAACCTGAAATTCAGGTCATTTACTGTAGCTCTTTCTTTCACTTCTATTGAAATTTTGTACACTCTCATCCACCCCCACTTTTGGTCTGATAGTGATGCTAGTCTGGTAAAAGCACAGGAATGCATTAGGTTGTACGCATGGTTGCTCTAAGTAATGAAAACATCAGGTGATGGTTATTCAGAAAGTATTTTTGAATAACAAATTACAGTAATGGCCATTGCAAATCTGGTGTTTTGAAAGACAAAGATTAACTACACTGTAATTCCATCAATCAGTTGCAATCTATTTCGCATTCTGTGAAATGGGATGAGGGATTCTTTCCTGTGAAAACTCCATTTCAAAATGGCACTTAATATTTTTTTCTTAATTCATTGAACTTTCAGATCAAATCTGATCAAATTTTAAAAGCGTACAGTAGAAAACCACTGCAAATAGCAAACAAGTAGTTTTGTCTGCAATATTAAGGGGTACATTCCTACCACAATCCATCTAGAGTATATTTGCCCTGATACAGTACAGTATAGTGCAATCACATCACATCGCCTCTGAAAAGTCATAGGATGAACAATCTTGGACAAAGGCATGATGTGCTGATTATTCAGACATACTGTACAGCAATACATAAATTTCTTAAAACACCTCAAAGCTTTTTGCTGAGCTTTGTTCACATAACAATAGTTTTTTTTTTCTCTCAAAGCTGGATTTTATTATTATTTACGTTTTTTAGATTAAAGTACCTTTGTTCCAAAAACAGAGGACATATTTACTGTATTGCTTACAGTAAACCTAGGTCTTTGCAATATTCTCTTTTTAAACCAAAGTTAGTTTAAAGACCCTGAATGACAATTGATAAGTTGCAGTTCATGTAATTTTCTATTTCGGATGGAAACAGAGGGTTGAATTTGCATCACAGTTTTTTTTTTTATATGTCCTATTATGAAATTATGATTTTTTTGGTCAATCCAACATAGTCAGGGAAACATTTGGATTTCCAACTATTGTTTTTGCAGCATTCATGACTGAATCAACCAAGGGTCTTTGCAAAAGGCTCACTTCCATGAATAGTTTTAAATAATTAATTAAAGTGCCTTTTTTCCAAAGAACAGACTACATATTTACAGTACTATATTGTTAACAGTATGTGTAGGTCTTTGCAGCATAGGTATTTTAAAACCCAAAACTACAATTGATGGGTTTCAGTTTTAGTAACAAACATGGCCTTGAAAAAGTGTTCAGTTAAAGCTCTTTAGAACTTGGAACTTAGAACTTAGAACTGTAGAACACATGGAATTTCCCATGGTAGAAATGTGTCAAAAGGACCCCATGGTAAAAATAAAATTGTAGATCTTATTTAGATAGACACCACATTTAGAGCTGCTTACTTGGCCTGTAATTAAAATCTTCCTTTTTTAGAACAATGTTTCTGATTAATATCAAGCTGTAAAAATGTAAAACATTGACGACTATCCATCTATTCTCAATAACTGTTTAGTCCCAATAAAGGATCAAAAACCAGAGCCTAACCTAGCCAACAATGGGCACAAACCAGAATACACCATAAACTAGATGTCGATTTAAAGGCACACACACACTCACAGGGGCCAGTTAATGTAAACTGTGTCTTTGGATTATGAGATGAAGCCAGCAGTCCTGGTGAAAACTCATGCAGACATACAGTAGTGAGAACACGCAAACATCACACAAAGATAACCACCTCTTCCTGGCTAGTTTTGAATCCAGGACCCAAGAGCCGTAAAGTGACACCTTTAACTACTATTACCTTCTCAAAACGGGTGCCACAAATTACTGTACATTGCACAATGCCGCACCCTGCCAAATGCATTCCCGTTTCAGCTGTTGGTTAGACTGCAGCTGTACGTATGGTAGGGATTGCAGCAGCTACAAATCCTTACGAATAAAGTAAGGAAATGACTGGTTGATTATGTTTTAATATAATGATCTGTAATTTAAAGAATAGAAGACGTGTCAAATTAATATTGTGGCAGCTAGAAAGATACTATTCCTGTCTGTGTGCATACAGAAGATCAGATAAAATATGCAAAACAAACTTAAGGGAAACAAAATATAGGTGAATGTATTCAAATGCCAAAATACCTACAGTATGCACGTACTGTAAAATGCTGAAAAGCCCAACTTAGAGAATAAGATGCTTATTTAGTTTAAGTGAAAGATCTCAGTTTCAGTGTGAAAATTCATATTATGTTGAATACCAGCAAGGCTATATAAAAGGTTTTCAATGTACCTTAGGGCTCATGTTAATCGTAAACTCATGATTTAATTTTTCAGATCTGAAAAACAAACATCTGCTGCCGGGATGAAAATAATCCATATGAAATTTTGAGGCAGTTAGGACAATTTCATGAACATTTTATAGAACGCCTGTGTGATATGATTTCTTTGATGTTAAAGGGGATGGAAAACCAATGACATTTTGAGAATCTTAAACTAGACCTGTGGATTCACAAAAGAGAACACTGCAGAAATACAGCGGAGGGCTGGGGTGTATGGTTCTTCACATTAGGAAAATGAGTACTGACCTTTAAAGTCACCTGAATAAAGTACAAAGAATACCTGGGTACCTCATTGCTTGGTTTGTGCGGTAACGTTTTCATTTG